CTGTATGGTAGGTTTTAGTAAATTTATGAAACTATAAGCGGTGTTTTAGTAAATAACATTTTTTTTTTATTTTTAATGGGACTAGCCCATTCTCCATCCCCTTGATACTCCCAAACTGCACCTACCCATAAGGATTTTACCCACACTTAATTTGATCATAGGTCTCTGGTACAATGAGTAAAAGATCCTATCAACTGAGACACCATTAGTTGGTCACACCTTATGACACTCAATAACCATTTATTTAATATATTTTGACAAAAATAGTTATATTTTCAGATTATTTGAAACACAACAAACCACAAAAGGAATTACCCAATGTTGGCCACTCGATCCATGGGAATTGGGATCTTCTCGGAGCGTGAACTTCACAACAACCTCACGACCACATCCAACCCTGTATTATGAATATTTCCCATGAATAATAAATACAAGTATGAGAGATGTGCCCGTTGTGCAGCCAGAACATGCTGTGTGGTTAGTGTGAAGTGCGGTGCATGAGGAGCAGATCCGGACTTGTCGATGGGTCAGGGGTGAACCGCGTTGGATACGATCCTAACTTTTGGCATTAATTTTAGCACAAACTGTAAAATTCAAACCCGTTTTATCACAGCCCTTAACCTTTGACCATTTCAAACACACCACAGTGGGACCCAGTAGTATGGAACACACCACACTTTTAGCCACGTCACAGAAAACCCCCTAAATGAATGAATCTGCATATAGGAGTTTGGGCCTGAACTCTGAACTCTTGCAACCCATAACCAAGGGGATGTTTGGAACCATTGCTGTTTTTCAAAAAAATGGTGCCACGTCGAATCCACATAGGCATTTCAACAAACACCCATATATATATGAATGTTTGGTTCAGGAGTTTATTGAAAAATCAGGCATGCCTCATAAATCGGGACCCTACCGATGCATGAAATGCCAAATTACCGTTTCCTCCAACGGTTGACTGATGTGTATCCTATGTGGTGCTTACCTGTCAGCACACACATGAAAAATGGTGATAAAAATCACCTTACCAAACAGCATAGTTTTGTTTACTTCCTATGTGGCAGAAGCATTTTTTTTGTGGGTCTTGAAAGCATGGGTGTTTTTTCTTGAAAATCGGTCCCAAAAAGTGCCCACATTCTAAACACCATTCAAATGGGATGATCTTACTCAATATAACTAGATTAGGCTCCAGATGATTGTTCAATTTTGGACCTGCTGCTGGTGAGTTCTGAATCTGTATCAGATGATAATCAACCCGCTGGATTTCTTGTCATTATAACTTCTTTTATTTGGTTTATATAAAAGAAGCCATATGTGTTTGTAATTTTCTGTATTTTTTGGAATTTTTTTCTATATTTTTTGGAATTTTTTTCTGTATTTTTTTTGTATTTTATTATTTTTATATTTAGATATTTTTATTTTTTTTCATATGTTCTTTTTCCTGTATTTTATTTAATTTTATGGTATTTTTTATTATATAAATATTTTTTGTTTTTTAATTTATTTATAACATCACGGGTCGAATTGTTCGACCTAGACGGTTGAACCACCAAACCGGAAAACGGTGCCCAGAACAATTCCATTTCTAGGTTGATTTTTAAAACCTTATATAAAACTTAATGAAAAGAAATTAAATACAATAAAAAATAATTCTCAAAATTAAAGAGGAATCAAATTAAAAATATAAAAATATTTTAATCAAACAAAAATTCTACACTCTTATTCGTACTATTAATAGTAGTATAGATAAATACAAAAAAAAAAAAAAACTTTTAATTGATATACATCATCATCTTCGATCTTCATGCTCATCCTCGCATGGAACCTCACAACTATTGGATTATTGTTGATCCTACATCAAAATTTTAAAAAGAATATCCAACTACCTTCTGATAGCGACAAACCTGACAACTATTGGATTATAATAATTAACCTAGTGCCCGTAGAAAAAGAAAAGATCCCAAAGTTGAAAGAAAAGCAGAAGTGCCATGTATTATACAAATTTGGCGCACACCAAACAGATTTATATTAATCCAGTTGCAGGTATCGAAAAATCAGTATATGACTCTCAACCCAAGTAGCACCCAATAATAGACCTGTTTATGGGCCCGGTAGCCCGATGGTCCGCCTGGCTTAGTCAGGCTTGGTCATAATTTTAGGTTCGCATTGGGTCTGATTTTTTTTGAGTCGAATTCAGGAGTCCGAATCTGACATGATATTATATATTAAATAATAAAAAATATATTTTATTTTTCTTTGTTTTTCTCTTTTTTTCAAGTAATAGTGAGATGTTTATTATTTTTGAGTTTTGAAGGTTTTTAATATAAATAAAACATTTTTTATAGAATAAAAAAAGAAAAAAAATTCTATTTTCAAATTTCTGGTCGGGTTCAGGCCCGAGCTCAAGCTCAAGACCTAAGCCCGATGGTGATCGAGCTCGGGCCTGAATGTATTTTATTGATACATAGACAAAGCCCAACCCATGGACAGGTCTACCCACTAAGAGTTGGATACATATAGTACATATATAATAAGAACCACTACCATGACTTTTTAGGGTCATTTACTAAAATATTCCTATAGTTTCATAGATTTGCATAAACCTACCATATAGTTTGCATTCTATTAAAACACCCCTTATAGTTTGCAATTAGTTACTTAATGGACCTTTATTTGTTTTGTCATATGAAAATAGTAACATGATCACCTAAATTAAGTGAAAAATGTTTAAGGGCATGGACCCATTGTTGTTTATTCCAAAAGTACCCCTAAACTCAGTGCAAAATGTTCAAGGATATGGATTCTTAGTTGTTTATTCCAGTGTAGAAAACAAAATTGACCAAATAGAAAAAAATAGAATGGTTGTTTGTGTTTTACTAGGGACTAAAATGACTTTTTTTTGTTTTTAGTGAAATTCTTTTGATTAAATTCATTTGAATGAATGTTAGAGTTAAAAGTTAAAACTGCCATTTTCTACTTTCATCTTAACGGAAGATTGATCAAGTAAATTGATTGCAAATTATAGGAAATATTTTAGTAAAACACAAACAAACAAATTATATGATAGGTTTTAGTAAATTTATGGAACTGTAAGGGGAATTTTAGTAATTGACATTTTTTTTTTCATTTTTAATGGGGCTAGCCCATTCTCCATCCCCTTGATACTCCCAAACTGCACCTACCCATAAGGATTTAACCCACGGGACACTACAACTGTAAATTGGGAATATCTTTTGGATTTACAAATTTTGATTCATGAGGAAATGTTGCCAATATACTTAGTAGTGTTTGTGGGTAGGATTCTTGTGGATAAGAGAGATAGGATTCCCCAAACCGGTGGTAGTGGGATTTGATCACAGGTCTTTGTTACAACGAGTCAAAGATCCTATTAACTGAGACACCATTAGTTGGTTACGCCTTTTGACGCTCAATATCCATTTATTTAATATATTTTGACAAAATTAGTTATATTTTCAGATGATTTGAACACAACAAACCACAAAGGGGAAATAGCATATAAGGGCAATTTTTGGGGTCTAATATTAATAAAAGTAATATATTTAAAAAAATTCAAAAAAAGGTTAACTTTTTAAAAATAATATCAATAAAGGGCAAAAACACTGTTCATATTCTTCTTCTTGGCATTTGTTCACTAGAGCTGCCGCCCGCCACACCTCCGCCCACCTCTGCTTCCGCCTCTGACAATGTTGTCGGAGGTGGGTGGAGACAGAGGTGGCGGCGGTGGCGGGCAGAGGAATGACCACCAATGCCGCCGCTGCCACCTCTGGTGAACAACGTTGGCGGCGGCAACATTGCCGAAGGTGGACAGAAGTGGCGACGGACGGCGGCTCTAGTGAACAAATGGCAAGAAGAAGAAGATGAATAGTGTTTTTATCCTTTATTGATATTACTTTTAAAAAGTTAACCTATTTTTTATTTTTTTTAAATATATTACTTTTATTGATATTAAACCCCAAAAGTTGTGTATATGCTATTACCCCAATCACAAAAAGCATTACCCAATGTTGGCCACTCGGTCCATAGGAAATTGGAATATACTTCTCACAACGCGTGCATCACACCGACCTCACAACTATATCCAACCCCGTATTGAGAATATCTCCCATAAATAATTAATACAAGTATTTGAGCAGATCGAGACTTGTCTTACCCCCACAACGTCCCTCGTCACATCCTGCCGTGTATTGAAACATATTTCGATGATAATAATAGGAATGACGATGTCATCACGGGAACATGTTCTCACTACACGGCGGGGATGTGCTGTGGACGTTGTTGGGGCTGATTCGGTCTCGTAAAATTCAAATCCGTTTTTTCACAGCCGTTAATCTTTGACCATTTCAGACACGCCACAGTGGGACCCAATAGTATGAAACACACCACACTTTTATCCACGTCACGGAAAACCCCCTAAATGAATCTGCACATAGGAGTTCGGGCCTGAACTCTGAATCTTGGAAACCATAACCAAATGGGATGATCTTACTCAATATAAGTAGATTAGGCTCCAGATGATTGTTCAATTTTGGACCTGCTCGCTGCTGAGTTCTGAATCTGTATTAGCTGATAATTAACCCGCTGGATTTCTTTATGAGAATTGCAAATTAATACTTTTCTGTGAAACTGAATTGCACATTTGAAGTCTATAATCAGAAATTTTTCCTGTTGAACTCCATGACAATCCAGTTTTATATCTTGTCAGTAACAGAGATCATTCATTCTGGGCAATAACTTTCCATGCCAGTCCTTCATCCCAACTCCACTATCAGACCATCAACCCAGTCGAATGGAATTAAACTGGCCAGAGCCATTTCTGATCTTACTGGTTTCCCCACAGGGCAGATCGTTTAAGACGCTTATTAACTAACCATCAAAACTGTGCAAATTTTTGTGGGGTTTGATCAAATCATATAGCTAACAGGAGTGCCAGCCATCAACAGAGAAGAAACAAATTAAAACAAGGAAAAATAAAGAAAGAATAAGGCAATGACCATTAAGTCATGGATAACTGGAAACGACTCGTCTATATCATCGAGTGTCCATGAAAAAGCAAGAACACAGAGACACCAACACAATTATATATCTTAATTTGCTTTTCTGTACTAACAAACAATGAAATTGAAGAAACACAGTGATTATTAGGTCAAAAGTTGAAGCTTAAGCCGTACAAAGAGAAGATTTAACACCTATTTTCTATCCTCAATCTACCAGAATTCGCTCGGCGATTCTCTTCGATCAGCGCCGCACGCGCAGACATTAGTCCGTTGGGAACAAGTGATGAATTGAAAGCCGAACAATCGATCCAATCCTTCAGAAGATCCTCCTGCCCCCATATATCTGGTACCCAAACATGACCAGCCACCTCGGTCCGATGTCTCTTTAGTCTTTCACGTCCAGAAACCTCCATTGATGCACAGGTATTAATAGTTTCCGTTTTGACGCCAATGGTGGTGGTGGTCGGCGATGGACCCTGCATATCTTCAACCCGGTCCTCCTCCATCTCTTGGGGTTTACTGGGTTCTGAAGAAGGTGGAACCTCCAGCGAGGCGCAAGCATCAACAGTTTCTTTTTCAACATCAATGGTGGTGGCGGTGGTCGGCGATGGGACCTGCAGTTCTTCAACCGAATTCTCCTCCTGCTCTTGGGGTTTCCTGGGTTCTGAAGAAGGTGGAGGAATCCGGTGGCCGGAGTTACTCCGATTCCGGCGACTCATTTTGGTGGGTATAATTTTCTAATGAAAGGAGAATAGCTCTGTCTTCTTGGTCGTCTTTGTTTTCTGGTGCAACAGTGTCGTAGGAGAAGCTTTGAAGATGATATATATATATATAGAGAGAGAGAGAGCTTCTTGTGAGCTCGGGAAGAAGCCTCCATGGGAAGAAATGGGTGGGGTGTCAGTTTACACGTCATATATTCTTTTCTGTGGTTTGTGAAATGTGTACGTGTCATCTCAGATTGGAGTCGTCTTTGTGTGATTTAGTGTCCACGTTAGATAAAAGGTGCAGAGAGAGAGAGAGAGAGAGAGAGGTTCCGGTGGTCAGGGTGACTCCTGGGTGAGAAGTGAAGAGGAGAATTGTGAGGTTGACGTTGAGTTGAGAGTTTGTGATTTTTATTGGGAGTTTGACCAATGACGTTGGAGGTTTTGATTGGAGACTTTTTGGGTGGTCTAAAGGCTTTTAAAATGAGATGGTCGGATATAGAATTATATATTTATTAAATTCAACCCAATTTTATTTTATTAGACTGATTGGATGGTGGACCAAGGTAGAACAAGAGGAGATTTTTGGTGTGGATACTTAACCACCACCACACTCTCCTTTACACCCTTCATAAACAAAGAAATAACCTCACCCCTTATTTCCTCCCTCTGCCTCACCCACATCTCTCTCTCTCTCTCTCCACCTTTTATCTAAGGTGACATCTTCTGGATGCATGATTCAACTTTTGAAGAGTAGGGAGTAGGATTAGCATTAACAGAGTTCCTACATTTCCATTAAGGCTCAAATTAGAATTGCTGATCCCCCTCTCCCTTCCCATTGTGAAGAATATATGCTAGCTAGTAAATAATAACACCATTGGATATCTTGCCCTAAATATAAGGTGGAAGCCTAGGGTAAAGAAATCCAAAGAGTTGTATAAACTCTTTATCTTGCATTAATTGTTTCTTGTTAGAGTTACCCTTGTCCAAAATAATCTGAACTACATAAAAGAGCATATTCTTCTGATTCTAAACAATTCTAGAGAATAGTTAGAAAGATAAATAGAGGATGACCATGCATAAATTACTACTTCAACTTGATTGCTAATACAGTTAATTACCAACAAACCCATGCTTTTCACTTAGACCATGTTTAGATCCCTAACAAATTTCTTGAGATATAAAAATTAGCAAGAAATCACTTTACCAGATTCTATTGTTTTTGTTTGCGATTCCAACACAATCTTGGAAAATTGGATCATGGGCTGAATTAAATTAATACATTTTAAGCTTATTGGAAAAGAAAGTTGTATTAAATCCATCATTTGGTTGGATATGAGTGCCTGAGTGGTTCTAGGAGTTAATGAGGTAGGAGTGTTAAAAATAAAGCCCCTAATCTCATCCAAAGAGTCCATGGAAATGACTTTAGAAAGGAAAATAAACCAGTCATTTTCCCTTTTTTTTTTTCAGACCAAACTCTTTTTTCTATTTACTATTATTGATGGCTTGAAAGTTCTATTCTAACCAGGCTATTAGATTAATGACAAACAATTCTTTATATGTTTTTTTTTTGCAATAAATCAATCCAATGTCAACTAGAATTGGGCCCAAAAAACAAAATGCAAATAATTAATAGCATTATCTTGTATAGAGTTAGAATTAGGCTTAATTGAGTTAGGGTATTTATTTTACTGAATTATGTTTTATCTTCATGTCTGGCATGCCCATATAATCTTCATGCTTGTCGCCATTGGTTCTTGATTTTGATTTTTGTGGTCTGACTGTCTGACACGAAAATTGGACAGCCTGTGCATCAGTGGGCATTAATTAATACACAAGTAGTGAAGGACCAAGCTTGGTTGGTCTTCCGCCCTCCTCTTTACTTGGTCAAATGCATGCATTCTAGCCAAGATTTTGTTGCCATATTCAATGTATTCGACGCCTACACGTCAATGTTATGATTGGATGGAAAATCTTGGGTAATCGTTCCTAGTATCGAAAATTCTATTATGAAGAGAGAGGTTTCTTTTTCTTTTCCTTTTGTTTTGTTTAAAAAAAAAAAAAAACACAAACATTTTATTTGTATAACAAATTAAGGGGGTATTAATCAATGTTATTAGAAATATATGTAGAGAGAGAGAAATTTCTTTTTCCTTTTATTTCTTTTTTGAACTCTAAGGGGCTTTTATAAACTAAAAAAACATGTTTTATGTATATAAAACCTTCATTATGTTGCTTTTAGATAACATGAACGATGAATGCATTTTTGTCATTTTGAGTGATTCTGACTCCTAAAAACAAAGAAATCAGAGTCAATCATCCTCATTTTGGTCTCAAATCTAATAACATTTATTAGTGTTCTGTTTGATTAGCAATTAGAATCACAATTGAATGGGAATTAAAATCCCTTGGAATTGAAATCAGAATTAGAATTGTAATACGTTAGAATGGGATTTCATTCCCAAGGGAAGGGGAGGGAATGCCATTCCAGCTGGATGGGAATGAGATTCTAATTCCGCACAATCAAATTTTGATTCCGATTCCAGACCCTATTCCTGTAAAAATCAAATAGGCCCTTGCAATGTTGGGGTATTTTTGGATTTATGAAAATTTTCAAAAATAATGTGATGGCATTTCATATGTTTGGGGTGTAAAACGTTCACTTAAAAAGTGATTTAAATTTAGGAAAAATCTATGATGCGGGAAAGATATGCTATGGAAAGAGTTTTTACTTTTGACCAATCAAAACCCACACATGAATTTTGATAAATAATACCTTATTTGCTACCACGTCTATGATTCTAGTTTATTGGTCAGTTGTTTTTCGGATATCTTATCATTTCCATATCACAGTCGAACCCATAAATTTAAGTCCAACCCAGGTAACAGGAACCCTGATGAGAGCCTGGATCTGCGGCTAACCCATGGTTTTGAAAACCAAACTGGATCGGACAGTCAAGATTGGTTGACCTGAGAACCAGTCAACTAATTGATTCTGTTTCACCCTAAAACAGTTTTTTGGACAAAAAACCGTTGATGTGGTTAGCGACACACTGACCCAGGCAGTTGAACCGTCAATCCATCAACCCGAAAAACAATTTTGGCCGCTTTTTAGTTTATTTATTTTTTAAATCAGAATGGGCCATCCATTCGAACCAGACAATTGGATCATTCGGCCCAGGAATCGGTCCCTAGAATGATTCCGTGTCCAATCTGRTTTTTAAAACCTTGGCATAAGGATAAGCTTCAGGATTTGTGTTTTTAAAACCCAATAGCACGAATTCCCAATTTTAGGTTTTGTATTTTTGGGCTTAAGTGTTTTGACTTTAGATCATGTTTTTAAAAGAAATATTTACTAAGTAATTAAAACCCTTTTTCTTCACAATTTTGTTTACTACAGCCCAAAGTTCTAAAGAAGAAACTTATTCAAACATAGCCTAGGTCATTGAGTTGGAAGTACGATGATATTCATTAAAATTCACAGGAGGGTTTTGATTAGGGGTACAATTTGGGTTGGCCTAAATTAGCATTTTATACTGTTTCATTCTCAGGTATTCAGGTTAAGTCGATTCAAATTTTGACCAAAGCCCAATATGAATCCACCCAAATTGCACTCCCAATAATTTTGATGAACTCCATCTCCTGCAGGTGTGCAATGGGAATGTCTCTCTTGTCATCGATGTGGCAGATGTTCCCAATACTGACAGTAGTGTCTTGTGGGTATGGATGTGAAAACAATTTGTAGGTAAGAGAATTTTTAATGAATTTTGATTGGTCAAAGTTTTTCCGATATCATACCTTTCCAGCATCATAGATATTGCCTAACTATTAAGAAACCAAGACCTAGGGGTTCCCTGCTAGTTAAGCAATCATATAAATGGAAGGGTATGTCCAATGTCAATTTAGATTTTCACTCAAACAGGTGATCTGTTGGGCATGCATATTTGTTCAGTGACCCAGTTCATATCAAGATATATTTGTTGTTTCAAGTGAGGGTGACTCCTGTGGGTTTCTTTTCTCTGAGACAACTACCTCATCTCTTTCGTTATATTTGTTTCTAATGCAAAGGAGTTTTTGGGTTCTTCCTCATCTTTTATTCATGGAATAACTTTTGGCTTAATACATCTTGCCACGTAGACTGATTCTTTGGGCAATCAAAGCCGTCCAACTGGCTATATGTTCCTTGTAGTCTTCATGAACCCCATTTGCCATGCCACCTTGAATTGAAAGCTTTTCTTGTTTAATATTATAAATTCAAAGTTTAAATTTTATGGTTAAAGTCAGTCCATTTTACTGCAGTTGTAATGGCCATGTGGCAAGGTTTTTTAGGTTAAAAATTGTTCCATGGATGAAGGTTGGTACCACAAACAATAAATGGACTAAAGAATCCTATTTAGGTTCAAAATATTGATACTCCTTATATGCAAATTTTGCATATCAAGAGTTTCAACTAGTACATGGAAATTTATGATACAAGGATGAATTATGACCACACAACCCCCTTGTGTCTTGTATTAGTATGTGTTCTCCATTATGTCATCTGGTCCCATTGAAAAATTTAGATTCATTCCATGAATGACAACATAAAAGTATGATAGATGTTATTAACGTGCAGATGCAAATGCTATGAAGAAGTTAGAGGCTGAAATTTTTCACTTTGTCCTATGAAAGAAGTGATTCCCACATACTATTATGACCTCTTTTTCTATACTTTTTAGTTCTGACAAGTTATCGGGGTATCACAATCTGAGTGGGGCTTCGGTCAGTGCAATGCCAGCTTGAACAGTGCATTGAGAATATCTCTATATTATGTGCTCTATTTCATAGGGAGATATTTCAAATGTAAGGTTGTAAAAGGCTATTCGAATGGTGTAAATACGGTCTTGCACTGATCGAAGCCGAACTCTCACAATTTATCATTTGGGCTTAATTTGGAAAGAGTGCAAATACAAATGTATACAGTATAAATATATACAAAATAATATAAAATACAAGGTTTTGCAATCTATATGTATTTATACTCCTTCCAAACTGAGTCTTAAAACATTTCAACCCAGCCAATTCTTAATACGAATTCGCATTGGCGCCACACAGA